GACAGTAACGCTTCATTAACGCCAGACAAGTAACATGATTAAAACATCAGTAACCAAAAATAACAATGTAAACACCAAAAGCAAGTATTATTCTGATTGTATTACATTTACAGTAAGTGGCGAATAGTGGATATAGCCACTGTATATAATGCATCTATTGACGGAATAAGGTTGCGCTGCTGAGGCGAGGCTCACACAGCCTCTCCAGGAGAAATCAAAATGTGCAACACTAAGAAACTCAGCATCCTGAGGTAAAAATTCTAAATGGAAAGTTTTTATATTTAAAATATAGTTAGTTAGGCAACATCACACAACGTTTTCACCATTACGACTGTTTAATAGTTCTATAAACAGTTCAATAAGCAAATACAATAATAGTAAATCACTTACATTTTAGGCGGAAACAGCGCATCTCACAGCAACCCGCCGATTCACTGCTGAATGATTCCGTGTTTTGAACGAACCGGTTGAGTGAGTCAAAGTTTCATTAGCCCAATGCATAAACATCTGATTAATCTGTCGTTTGAACGAAATTTTATTTAGTTGAAAAGTATCATTTCTATATATACTTTATGTATATATATGTATATGTAATTTATTACACTTTAAGGTAATTTTTTGACACATTTGTGATGTTATAAATCACTAGCATGAATATTCAGTAATTACTATGGACTAGGCCAGGATTAGACTATATCACATTGATAAACTCGACTTTATGACCTACCCCTAATCCTTTCGTTAACCAATTGTGGTACGCATTAGGATTTAATATATGATTGCCCACACAAATGAGCTCATTTGGCTTTGGGGTATTTTGACCTTTGACCCTCACTGTAGAAAAGGCTTATGGAGACCGGCCCACATTCTTTTGTTTTTCCATTTGGCTTGAAGGGGACACACATTCCACAACTCTGCGGCCTTGTCCTCCGCCGTAATACTCCACCCACGTCTGTCACACAAGCTCTAATCCCCCTCACAACAGATGAAGGTTTGTTTCAACAGCCAGGCATTTTGTCCTTTTGTGGTAGCTCACGTTATCACACAGAGGCTCTTGGGCCCGCTCTGTTCCCTCCGTATGACAAGATCATCCCCTTCCACTCTCTTTACAAACAGCCCATCCCATTACGATACTCCTGCCAGGACCCTGATGTCAATATCCGAAAGCGAACAGTCTCCTGATATGCCCCCTCTCTCTCTTCCACCCCCAGCGCACACAAGTTTACTGGTCGCAATGTATACTTTGACTAGACAGCACTAAAATAGTCTGGCTATCTGATGCAGGCAGGAGAGAACTGCCCTAGTGACTTTGTGGATTGTTTTTGCTCTCTCAGAGTTTGCTGTAGACATTTTAGTAAAGTTGCAGCGAGATATCTATTGTCACTAGATATCTGAAAACTAATAAGTAAAGTAAGTCTAAACCCAAGAATGAATCCAGAATCCTGATTGTCATAATTTGCTGCACCATCTTGTGTTTGCTATGTTATAGCAAAAGATGCTAACGGTCATGGAACCTTGTATATGACTGATATGAAACACTGTACATAAGCAACAACTTGCATAATAGTCACTGGTGCTCAAGTATGTAGAATAGCGTTCCTCACATCAACCACATAGAGATTTCAGTAGAGTTTAACGTTAGCATGATGCTAAGTTAACATTGTTATTCTTTAATCACAAATTATTGTATTATCACAAATAATACATGGAACACACAAATATTTGGTCAAATCATCCGTTTAATTCAATTGAATGTCTTTTATTAATATTGAATTAACCATGGTTTTATTATAGTTAAAGTGTAGTAACCATGTTTTTTTGGCATGTTGACTGCCATGTCTATAACCACAGTTTTACTACAAATACTATGGTTAAACTATGGTAAGTGTAGCAAAACCATGGCTAATTTGTGGTTACCATGGTTTAACTATAGTAACCATGTTTTTTGGTTTTATTTGGTTAATTTTCGTAGATTGCCCTCTTGTGTCATGTTGGACAATATTTAGTAGAGAGCACATTAATACCAACTCAGAATTATTAATGGAAAACTATGTATTTTTTAAAGGGTTAGTTCACCCCAAAATGAAAATTCTGTCATTAATTACTCACCCTCATGTCGTTCCAAACCCTTGAGACCTTCGTTCATCTTCGGAACACAAATTAAGATATTTTTGATGAAATCGGAGAGCTCTCTGACCCTCTGAAGAATTGTTGAATAAATTGTTATTTTTGTTTTCTTTGCGCACAAAAAGTATTCGCGTAGCTTCGCAAAATTGAAGTTGAGCCACTGATGTCACATGGACTGTTTTACCGATGTCCTTACTACGTTTCTGGACCTGGGAACATTACAGTTGCGTTGCTGTCTATGGAGGGTCAGAGAGCTCTCCGATTTCATCAAAAATATCTTAATTTGTGTTCCGAAGATAAACGAAGATCTTACGGGTTTGGAACGACATGAGGGTGAGTAATTAATGACAGAATTTTCATTTTTGGGTGAACTATCCCTTTAAGGTTTTCAGTTACTGAGAAAGGTGCCATTTTGATAGTTGACTGTAAATTTGTTGAATTTTATGAATTTTTCCATATACAATAAAACTAGCTGAATGTAGAATGTAGAATGAAGTTGAATGTACAAAATATGACAGAATACATGATGATTATTTTACAGTGGTATTCATAAATTGATTTAAAAACTCTTCTTTGCTCCTTAATTTTTAGAAGCAGAGTTAAAAAAAAAAAAAAACCTTGCTTCTTTGTAGTTGATTAAAAGAAGATCGTTCTGACTTAAGAAATTCTCATTCTAAAGAGCATCTGATTAGACAAAAGTGCAAAAGAGTCATCAATATTTTAGGTCTATTTTTCCTAAAGGGAAAGACTTATTTATTAAAGGGATAGTACACCCAAAAATGAAAATTATGTCATTAATTACTCACCCTCATGTCGTTTCAAACCAGACCTTTGTTCATCTTCAGAACACACATTATTTTTGATGAAATCTGAGAGCTTTCGGATCCTCCATTTACAGCAACACAACCACCACGTTCAAGGCCCAGAAAGGTAAGGACATCATTAAAATAGTCCATGTGACATCAGTGGTTCAACCATAATTTTATGAAGCTATGAGAATACTTTTTTTGTGGCAAAGAAAAAAAGACTTTATTCAACCATTTCTTCTCTTCCATGTCCATGTAAACAAAATTCAATTATGCCGTAAAGCAGCTCTAAAAATAGGACAATAGTAAACAGTCAATTTTCTAGTTTTCCGGTTTAGACTACACTAGGATGGGATCAAAGCTGAAATAAATGTCATCTTTTATTATGATGCCTTAAAGTACTATATGTCATTATAGGCAGCTCATTATGTTTTGCAATAGGAATATTTTGTCTCAGGTATGCTGTGGAAACTGAAGGTTCGAGTTTCATTTTGTCCTGATCATCATCGCTAGCATTTAGCAGCCATTAATGTTCCTCAGAGCTTCATTACTCACTGCAAAACTCCTGCTGTCTTCTAACAGAAAGCAGCTTTTCTAATAAAGTTCACTCTCGTTGCACCATGGAAAGACTGGTTAAACAATCCGATTTTCCCATCCAGTGTCTGGCTGCTATAATGAGCTTGATTTGTCATCCTGCACCTGTGATGTCTTGCCAAGTTTCTTGTTTAAAGTCTCGACCTGCAATCATTTTAGTTTATCGCCAGTGTGTCAAAGCTGTTTGAGAAATAATACATCAACGCTAACGCTTAGCAAATGATCTCAATGTCTTTTCTGAGTTAGGCTAATTGAGGCTCTGTTCATCATTACGCATCCTTTTATGTTAGTAGTAGCCATATATTGAGCTTGTTGATATCTGGTCTGTTCAAATCTGTTCTGAAGAAACAAACTCAT